GAGGGTCCTTGATGCCTTTTCTTAGGCGAGGTAGGCTCTGCATCTAGTTTTCTTCCAAAACACGCGACAACTAAGACACTATTGTATCATTGAAATTTTTGAGACGCAGAAATTTTAATTTTTCTATTGAACACTCCAGCTGTGCAAGATTGCGTCACAAAGAATATTCGGAGAACCAATTAGTTCTAAATTAGTACAGACGTGGAAATTAGACTAGCCAAAGGAAACTTTGCAGTTTTTCAGTCGAAGCTGAGCGCAAAAGCCTCTGATTACGAACAGTGCAGAAATCTATTTCATTAACTGAGCCTGTGTCAATACAAGCCGACTTACTACGCGACCAAATGTAAATTCTCTCGATATGGAAGTGGAAGATCTTGTGTGGTACAGTCCTTTCGTGTTCTTTGGTGGAGCTATTTTAAGTTTTGCTGATCCCATCACCGACATACTCACAGTGGTGGAATTCTACCGCTCGGATCACAAGACATGGTTTGGTGTGGGGCTTACTTTTGTTTTATTGCCATGCTTTGCGTTTCCAGTATTGTTCATCCTGTTTCGTGCTCAATCAACTGCTTCACCCTCTAGTTGGGTAAAAACTGCTCTTTGTGCAATGCATCCATTTTCAGCAGCCTTCGTGAGACTAGAGGCTTTTATTTTCTGTCTCAAGAAATGCTGGTCTGGAGATGATATCGACCCGGACAGCTCTGAACAAGCTGAAGATGTATTCACTCACATTAGGTTTGCTGTGCTCTTTGAGGCAGTCCTTGAGTCCGCCCCACAATCTATAATTCAGTTGTACGCCATCACTGTTCAAGAGGAACCAGCTGCAATGATCCAAATCATTTCTTTACCTATTTCTTTCCTCACTCTGGCATGGGCCTTCACAGCCACTGATAAATGGTCTCTTGACGAGCACATAATAATAACATCAAGTTGCGATGACCTGAATGTTAAACATCAACTAGCATTGTATGTGACTCATTTACTTCTCCTGAGCAGTCGACTGTCCGCTATCTGTTTTTTCACTGTCAGCTACAAGTGGTGGGTTATTTGCGTGTTGACGTTTCATTGGAGTGCGGTAGTAATAGCGACTTTTTTTCAGTATAGAGACGAAGTTGAATGTCAAACTTCTGGTGTCTTGATTCCGTTGTTTATGGGCATTAACTGTTTAAGAGATGACTTTGTGGAATTTTCGATTGGTAAAAATGCAATTGGTCTAACTATGAGCGTGTATTTCTCACATATTTTGTTTGTATTAGAAAACTTCTTTATGATCCTATTGTTTTATTTCAATTATCACCTCAACGCTTGGTACTTTTTACCAGTCACGGTGTGTGTTTGTGTGTTCAGTGCTGTTGGCTCCACAATGAGAATTTACTTACTTCGTTGGCTTAGGAAGAGACCTGTTGGCGGTTGAGCAGCCTCAACAGCAACGTGATGTGAATATATGTGGTGTGAAGTATTATGTTAGTTCAGTATAATCGAGTCATTCGCTTATATTTTGTCTGTAGCTATTATTTGAATTTGAAGTCGGAACTTTAGGTTTAAGCTATCAAGATGAGTTTCGAAATTGCGACTATCTTGTTTAACTTCCATCACTGAACGTGCGTAGTTGGACATCTGGCCTTGGTCATGACCCTCACGAAAGTTGCAGGCATATTTAGCCGGCTAAAAAACTTCCTCGATGTGTTTATAGTCTTATAAGTGAGAAAAAATCACCACCTAAGGAAGGACCAACAGAATTGTTACATAGATGATATTTTTTAACTAATCGCACAACAACAGAGGTCATATCTTAAAGATACAACAGACTTCAGCAACTTCATAGCAAAATGCTCATATTTTGGCTTACATGGTCAAAGACTGATTCTTTTGTAGAAGATTATGCGTTATGTTTTTAGTGCGTTGTTTTTCATTTTGTGAGATGCTAATATGAAAGAGCTTAGATTAGTGTTCTCACAACAAATCTTCCAAGGTCAGTTGACAAGCATGCTCGCTCAGAATCGAGAGTCCTTGGTGCCTTTGGTAAAACCGTTAGATTGCTCGTTATTGCAACCCAATATACTTGCATTTAATTAAAAAATTTAGACGAAGAAAACCGAAAGGCTCCAAGTTATGGCCTTTGAAAGTTGCGTTCCTAGAGCAGTTTTCGCGGGTAAAAATACAAATATGATAACCCAAAGTTATTCATCCGAACCTTTACGAAACTTCAGTTGTTTTAAGAACGTTATTGACTGCACTTTAGTACACATTTTAAAGACAACTTAGCCTAACACCCCTTTCTAAGAATAATGGTTTATGAATTAAGATTTTATCTTGTTATGATTTAGATTTTTCCCTCTCTCATTGTACGACAGATATTGATTTGCATTTAACCGACACTTCAAAGTGTGTAACTTCACGCAGTATATGATAATGCTGTGTAGATGGCTAATTTTGTAAAATCAAGAATTAGAATAAAGTTATAATTTCTTAAAGAAAGTGGACGCTTCTTGAGTATTGGTAATATAACGAGATTATCTTGTTTCACTGATCTGTAAATGGTAATAACTAAAGGTTATCAAACCGTATCGTTGAGAATAATAAAGAAAGCATAGTTATTCTAAGAAAGTTATTAACTGCCAATAAATAAATAAATCTTAATAGATGTTTTGGTGTGTAGTATCGCTGGGTATTTTACGAGTCAAAATACAAACAACCACAGGTAGCCCAAGCTCCAGCTGTGAGATGATTATCTTGCGAAATGATTCATGGCGTAATTATAGGAGTTTGTGTGGGAATATTTACCACCGCTTTTAGGAATAAAATCAAATTCGCGATAAAAAAAACCTTATCTTACTTCCATAGTGCATTGCTTGTTGTCTGACCGCTTACTACGTTGAAAAGAACCCATTTTAGCGAGTTGTCCATTTCTAGGTTTACTACATAAAAGAAGCTTATTGGTTTAAGAATTTAAGATTCTGATTGATGCGGCACATTTCATCCATCCTCGACGCATGCCTATGCATGTCTCTCCAAGACTGCGTCTCAAAGAACATCCGGCAATCATTTACTTTCTTCTAAAATTAATACAGACGTGCAGCACACCTCCTTCCGTGACCTTAAGAGTGAGATCAGATTAGCCAAAGGAAACTTTGCAGTTTTTCAGTCGAAGCTGACTTACTAAGCGAGCTAACGAAAGATCCGTCGAGATGTTAGTGAAAGATCTTAAGTGGTACAGTCCCTTCGTGTTCTTTGTTGGAGCTATTTTAAGTTTTGCTGATCCCATCACCGACCTACTCACACTGGTGGAATTCTACCGCGCGGATCACAAAACATGGTTTGGTGTGGGGCTTACTTTTGTTTTATTGCCATGTTTTGTGTTTCAAGTATTGTTCGTCCGGTTGCGTACCCAATTAATTGCTTCACCTTCTAATTTGGCGATAAAAACTGCTTTTTGTGCATTACGTCCATTTTCAGTAGCCTTTACGAGACTCGAAGTTTTTTTTTCTTTCTCAAGAAATTGTTGTTTAAATTAAGGTGAAGTCGACCGGGTCAGCTATGAAAAAGCTGAAGATGTATTCACTCACATTGAGTTTGCTGTGCTCTTTGAGGCAGTCCTTGAATCCACTCCACAATTTATAATTCAGTTGTACGCCATTAGTCTTCGCGAGGAACCAGCTGCGATTATCCAAATAATTTCTCCACCTATCTCTTGCCTCATTCTGGCATGGGCCGCTCACCAAGTAGCATGGTACGATATCTCTCCTTTGATGTTACGCGGGGGATCCTTGTCAATCTCGTCTTCTACAGTCATCAACCGCACCATAATTGACCACTTTGACAAGTTATTTGAGAGATTCGACAGTCAACTAAGCGGGTCCTTAGATAGAGTTAATGACATGATCAGCACAATACAGAGTATCAGCGAAACGTCTCTGGCAGAGTATCTTGCCTATGCCGCACGTGCACTGTCTGTCATTAACCTCGTTGTGTTTTGTGTTACTTTCCGCTGTGTCTTCAGGATGTTTCGTCATCAACCAAAACATAAGCTGTCTAGGAAAATCGAAGTACCTCACTACGAAAAACATGCAACCAACAATTAATTGGTAAAAAATAATGATATTTACAATAACAATAATAATAATAACCATAGAAATAGCAATGATAACTTAAAGGAGCTGGCTCAAGAACTTCACTGTTCCTGTATCCTCAAAGCACCTGCTTCTTTTGATTTTGCCTGTTAATTACGAATGATTTTCTTATTTCATAACAATTCCGTTTTTTGCAAAAACAAAACGTTTTAGGATATTCAGTCATTCCGAGTTTAAAGATATTCTGCAATTTCCCCATTTCGCCATTCTTCCCTTCTATCATATTGTCAAATAATAGGAAAAGGAGGAGAAGTCTGGAAACGAAACTTTTTGCCGCTGAGTCTAACGTTTGAATCACGTGATAAATAATTCGTACACGAAACTGATGCCTGGAAGATCGATTTTGCCTAGTTGTCAGTAGAAAATTCCAAATCGGAGATGGTCTATCTTTCTCGGGTGTCACGGGGTAATTAACTTTCTTAGAGTGTTTGAGATATGCGTTTTTCCCACAATCCCTTTTACAAGAAGACGGACTAAGTACTAAAAAGCAACAGACTCATTTGTATTACTTCAACAAAAAGGTTGGACGGTACACGGCTGTTGGGCAAATTTTCCCTTTGTTTTCGTTTTCTCAATTACTTGTCATTGTGTACTTTTTTTATTGCTCTTCGGTATTTTGTTAATTACGCTACTTTGCTTTTTATTTCGTTCTGCGGTGGCCTTTAGGTAGTTTGTCTGTGTTATAATTATATTTTTTTCGCTCTTGTAGGAATTTACTTTTTTTTAACATTATAGTAAAATATTTCCTGGGGCATCGTCTTGTGTTTTTTCCGAATTGGCTCTTGCCTGTTCGATGGCTGTGCCTCGAACAAGAAAAAAAAGAAGTTTACGTCCAGCCTCAGCCCATTAATTCAACATTCAGTTGGCATTAGTCGAGAGGGAAGAGAATAAAAAGCAAGAATCTGTAAATGGGAATAACTGAAGGTTACTGCTCCGAATCGTTAAACATACAGTCTAACACTGCATGTGGCTACTGATATAGCTCAATTTTTGTAGTATCGAAGAGAACTGGAAGTTGTCTAAAGACGATAGATGGTAGTGTTGAAGAATATTTGTCTCACATTCTAAGCATAAAACCTGCCGCATCGCAAAAATACACATATTGATGAGTGGCCTGTTGCACAAGAGAAAGATAATCCAAGAATATAGTTTCTACTTGACACGCAACCAATAATTAAATGATAACAAATAATCATATTAATAAAGACATAATAATAATAACCATAGTAATAGAGGTAATGATAATTTACAGGGGCTAGCTCAAGAACTTTACTAATCCTCTTTCTTTAAAACTCCAATAATAATTAAACAATGATTCTTT